TCCATTCGGTGTACAATCTGGTTGCGGGCAACAGGGATGCCCATCAACTGGAGAATGGCCGAACAAGTTATGGTATACGAATATAATGGAATACTATTGTTCAATAAGAAATGATGAGCAGGCAGATTTCAGAAAAACCTGAAAAGACTTGTACAAAACTGATACAAAGTGAAATGAGCAGAACTAGGAACACACTGTAGACAGTATGAGAAACTGTGTGATGATCAACTATGGATAACTCAGCTTTTCTCAGCAATACAATGATCCAAGACAAGTACAAAGGACTGATGAAGGAAAATACTATCCACATCCAGATTAAGAAATGTAGGTCAAAGCATTTTTTTTCACTTACTTTATTCTTTCTTCTGTTTTTTCTTCCCTTTTCATCTGTTTCTTCCATGATTGTGATGAATATTTTGAACTGTTTTACATGATAGCACATGTATAAACTATATCAATTTTTCAGAACAGGGGAAGAGAGGGAGAGAGGGAGAAAAAATTGGAACTCAAAATCTTGTAAAAAGTGAATACTAAAATTTTTCTTGCTGTACAATTGGATAAAATACTATTTAAAGTTTTTTTTTTAAAAAAACCTCACATAATGAGCTATTACAGTAGCAGGGATGCTTAAGACACAAATGCAGAAGAAGAGAATAACCCCAAAACATCAACAAGCATTACCTCAGAGAAAAATAGTTTGGGCACAAATTCAACTGGATTTCCAGAAGAAATGAAGCAAGAGGGTTTTTAAAAAATAATTTTTAAAAATACATTTTTTTATAAATAGATTGAAAGTTCTTGAGGAAAAAAGTTGAAAAAATGAGAGCAATGGAAGAAAGAATTGGAATGTAAATTAACAGCTTTGCGCAAGAAGTAAAAAACCTTGTCCACGCAACAAACTACTTGAAAATTAGAACAGACCAAAAGAAACCAGTGACTCTGTGAGGCAACACCAAATATTAAAACAAATTCAAAAGGCGGGGAAAAGTAAGACAAACTGAAAGGTATCTCAAAGCAAAAATATCTAGTCTGGAAAATTGATTGAATCAATGGGCTAGCTGAATGCCATGACAAAAAAAAAAAAAGGAGGGAGAGAGCCTAGATGTGGTGTAACTCCTGTTTCAAGTGGGACTCTCCTTATTGGTGGAGGTAAAGGCCCTGCCCAGTGTGAGGGGTGGGAAAGAGTTGTTGACAGACAAAAGCTTCAGTTCTCAGCCAGTCTTCCTTTGGAGATCGCAAGTCTTATTCTAGTATAGAGTCAAAGGCCAACACCACTACACATCACCAAAAGAAAGACTGATGATGATGAACCATGCTCCCCACCTCCTTCAAGAGAGGGGATAGATACAAGTTGAAGAATGAGATCTGCATTTTCAGTACAGAAATTTGTTTGACTATGTGTATTCACTACAACCCCTCCCCCCCAACTGGGGAGGTGGGGAGGTGAGAGAGAAATTAATGCTTATTAATTAAAAATAATTTGATTTAAAAATAAATAGAACTAGGGTCAGAGTATTGCACTTAAGTCCAACTTTCACTCCTTACTAATGATAACATATACATGATATGCATATACATATATATGTATATATATATATATATACATGTAACTAACTAGTGTGATCTTGAGCAAATCATTTTACTTCTATTTCATTTAACCTCTTTCTCCATTTATAAAATATGCTACCTGCCTTGGAGGTTACTACAAGATATATTATCTAAAAATGTCTATTTTCATTTAAGCTATTTCTATTTACCTGCACCAAGGTCCTATTTTGATGCCTCACTATCATGTGGTATGAAGGTTACTCTGAGTTCTCCAGCCTTATGCCACATGGAGTGCATGCTCTGGCAGGTTCTGTCAAACTGGAAAGGATTTGAGTCTAGCCAGGTGCCAGGTGTATACTTGTCACGAGGACTATCCTTAGCTCAGTTCAGGAAGGTTGATCATCAGGTTGATGGCAGGATAGCGATTTTTTTTAAACCATAGGATTATAGATTTAGAACCTGAAAGAGACCATCTAATTCAACTTCATTATTTCAAAGATGAAGAAACAGACCCTCCTCTGACTTCCTGATCACTGCTTTTTCCATCAAACCATACCACCTCTTTCTACTTGAGTTAAAGTGGGATCGTGATTTGTATTATCAAAAGAGAGTATCCCATAGATGAAAATACAGATTCCTAAAGTATTGAGTTTAACTTCAATTCCATAATATGAATTTTAATAGAACTATGAATACTCTGAAATTTAGTATATGCAATTATAGATGTTAGAAGTGGATTATATTTTGTGGTTTTTTTTCCAGTTTTCAAAAGTGAAAGAAAATGGGTTCAATGTATCACCATATGTTTTCACTGGTATTCTTTTTAAACAAAAGAAACAGTTTGCTGGCTGGTACACAAAGTACTTGACAAAGGAACTCTTTTTGCCACATGTAAAAAAACTATGTTCAAAGTCTGGAGAATAAATGGCATTTTAGCTTTTAGTCATTTTAAATAAGTAAAAACCTTCTAGAACAACAGCTAAGTTTTTATAATATTTATTTTGTGAGAAGATATATAAATATAATTGATCTGAGATTTCTTCAAGCAAAGTACTCCCAATACTCCTAATACCGGAAACTTCTTCCTTCAATAAAGATCTCAACCTATCTGTGACCTAACAGTAAGTTCCAGGGAGTTGTGAAGAGATCTAAGGATACTTGTTACTTTATGGGAAAAGGAAAAAGGATAGGCACAACTCACCCTGCTAGGGTTTGTCAGCTAAATTTAGGTAAATGAAATTATTTAAAGCTATTAATTTTCAAAAAATTACAAAGACAAATACAATGCTTACACACTAAAGTGCTGACAGTTGAAAAGAAGTCAAACTATTCAAAATTATCACTGACAGAGAAAAGACCATCTCTGCCATGTGCACAGTGCCCATTATCTTCATACATATGTTTTTAAATATGATTTCAGTACCCATTTCCCTAGTGTTTTCGCAGTTCTTTAGGCCTTAGTGAGTTCTTCCTCAGCCTCTGAATTTTCTTCCAGCTCCTGTGGGCTCCTGCCACCTTCTGTTTATCTAATCTCTTCCTTCCAGCCATTCAGGGAAGCCTGCGACTTCCCCCCACCTAACAGGCCATCATCAGAAATATTTCATTTTTCCAAATATATTCATACACCAAAACAAAGAAATGATATGTTTCAGTAAGGAATCTTCAGTACAAATGTGCTGTAAATAATAAAATAAATTTACAATTTAAAAATGTACATAGCTTTAAAAAAATGTTCTTTTGACAACTGTTGCAAGGGTTAGAGTGCTAGATTAGAAGTCAATAAAACCTGGGTTCAAATTCTAATTCTGCTATTTACTACTTGACTTGATCTTAGGCAAGTCAAGATCTGGTCTTGCTCCTCCAGGTGGGGGAGGAGGGTCAGGTTAGACCAGGTGATGGTGAAGGGATGGGATATTGCTTAGTTCCTTTAACTGTAAAATGAAGGGACTGACCTTGCTGGAACTCTTTTCTATCCATATTTCTTTGCATTTACTTTAAGGGTAGTTGTTATATTTCTTTCAATAACATAAGCTCCTTGAGGGCAGGGGCAGTTTGATTTTTTTTCTTTGTATCCCTCTCCTATAACAGTGGTTTGCACATAGTAGATGCTTAATAAATGCTTGTTGAATTAAACTGAATCTCTAAGGTCCCTCTAAACCCTATTCAGAATTGCTTGTGGAAAAGAAAATATATTTATCTCACAATTTTGATCCCAAACTGAAATATAGCTAGATTATTCCACCTAAGACTTCCATTAATAAACTTAGAATGTAAAAACTGTACAGCATGTAGGGATTCTTGGGTGAAAGGTCCTACATAATTACCATTTGTGCTGTGCTCTGAGGACAGTAAGAAAAAATGCTAATGGAACTGTGAGCCAAAAGAATTGATATCTATGCAGTCTTGTTCAAGGCTGGGGATTGTGAGAAAGCAAGGAAAACAGGGTGTTGGTAGCTTGTGCATGCGTGCATAAATACATATATAACTTCAGTCTGAAAAGGGACTTCAAGCCATTTGGCGGGCAATCATAAAAAATTACAAAATTAACATTTTATGAAAACAAGTCTTTAAACATTAGCCTAAAACTATCATTGTTCAGGTGAGAGATGGAAGTGTTGGTAGTTTAGTAGTGTATGGGAGTGTGTGTGGCATAATTGGAGATTTGAAGAAGTACATTCACCCCTCCTTAGCTTGTTGTAGCCACAGATTAGCAATGACGCTGAACTTGCTAAATGCACCTCTGTCCCTTTTTGGTATATATGGACTGGCATCAGGCTTGCAAAAAACTAACCCTATCAGTGGAAAACAGGAGAACTGGCCAGCTGGAGGCAGACAACATCCTCTCCCAGCTCAGAAGCACGCTTCTGTAGGTCCTGGAGAGGGAGGAACTCCGGCAAGCCTGTACACACCTTTGAGCTGTGCAGAGGTCAAGGGGAGAGCTGCAGGGAGTAGGACCCAGGCATATCTTGGGGTGAATAGGAAAACCAAGGCAAAAGCTACGGCACAGAAATCACCCACATAATTGCCCAGCCGGACTACTACAAAACCCTGCAAGGCAGACCTTGAGGCGGGAGCAAGTCTCCTCCTCCTTCCCCTAATTCACACTCTCCTTTCCCATTTGGCCTCTGCCTCCTCTCCAATGCTGGCACCCTTTCCGAGTCGAAAAGGAGGTATCAGCGTTGGGGGAGGGGGCGGGGGGGCGCACTGTTCAATTCCTTGGGTTTGGCAGAATCAGGGTGTTCTATTCCCCATTCTTCCGTTCCCCCTCCCTCTGCTTGCCCCCCAATCCCGCAGAAGGCGCACGGCGAACTGGAGGTGGCGCTGGCGCTCAGGAGCCGGGAGCAGCAGGTGCGGCCGCCGCCGCCGTCGCCGCTGTTGTACCTACACCTCGAGAAAGGAAGGGAGGAGGAGGAGGAGGAGGCGCGAGTCCCGGTCCCGGGGTGGGAGCTTACGGGGTGCGGGGGCGGGGGTAGGAGAGAAGGAGACTGGCCGGCTCTGCAGGTTGGGATCCGAGCTCCTCGCTTCCGGGAGGCGTCCAGAGCGCAATCAAGAAAGACGGGAGGGGAGTAGAAGGAAGGAGTGGAGCTAGCTCACGGGCTCCCTCCTCCCTCGTCCCTCCCCCGCCCCGCACCGCCCCCTCCCCCGTCACCACCCCTCCCCCCCCCGGGCTGCACTCGGGAGCCGGCTCCTTCAGGGTGCAGCGCCGCCGGCTTGCAGAGCGGAGCGGAGCTCGTCTCCTCCTTTCCTGGCTGCCGCAACCTAGCTCGGCTCCTCCGGATCGCGGGTCCCCGCTCCTAGAGAAGGAGGAGGAGGGGGAGGAGAGCCTTCTCGCCGCCCGTCCGCGCTCCCCGGCCAGGAAAAGCCGATGTGCCGGGGCCGCAGACACTGCGACTGCAGCGGCGGTGGCAGCGCCGGTGGCGGCGGCGGCTAAGAAGCCGGGGGAGCCAGGCTGTGGTCCCGTTTCCCGGGAGTCGGCCTCTCCCGCCCCCCTGGAGCCCCTGCCCGCCGCCGGGGCGAGAGGCACGTCCGTCCTCCGCGGGTGGCGGAGCTGCTGCAGCCCGGGCCGAAGAACGGGCAGGAGCAGCAGCGGCAGCGGCGGCAGCAGCTCCGGCGGCGGCTTCGCTCCTAACCCTTTCGGCTCCTAGGGAGGGAGGGGAAGCTAGAGGGCAGCGGGTGTCCGGCCCAGGGCGACATAGGCACGGCTTGACGCATAGACTGACCTGGGGCTAGGAGCGCCACCGGCGGGACGCAGCGGCCGCTTGGCTGTGTGCTTCGCGATCCTGTACTCATTCCCGGGGAGGAGAAAGAGAAGGAGGAGGAGAGAGAAAGGGAGGAAGAGGGGACGAGGGGAGGTGGGGGTATCTTTTTTTAAAAACACAGATTTTTTTTAAGCCCAAATTGGCATTGCCCTCTGGCCCGGGCAGGCAGGGCGCTGGAGGAGGCGCCGCGGTAGTGGCACCGGTGGTGGCTGCCTCGCCTCCCCCTCTCTCTATGTGCATCTCTCCGTGTGGCGGGTCGCGAGGATGGCGATAGACCGGCGACGTGAGGCGGGAGGCGGCGGCGGGCCGAGACGCCACCAGCCTCCTCCGGAGGAGAACGGGTCCCTGCCGGCTGGGGAGGCTGCGGCTGCAGCAGCCCCCCTGGGAGGTCCGCCTGTCGACGTAGGGGACATCCAGACCCTGCCGCCTCTCCCGGCCCCCGGGGCCCCGGGGGGCGCCCCGCAGTCCAGCTGCTGCTCTTCGTCCTCAGCACCTAGTCTCCTGCTGCTGGACTACGATGGGTCGGTGCTGCCCTTCCTCGGGGGGCTGGGCGGAGGCTACCAGAAGATGCTGGTGATCCTCACCTGGATCCCGGCTCTGTTTATCGGCTTCAGCCAATTCTCGGACTCTTTTCTCTTGGACCAGCCGGAATTCTGGTGCCGGGGGCCCCAAGAAGGATCTGGCTTGGCGGGTGCCACCACCACTGGCAGGGTGGGCATCGGCGACTTTGGGAACTGGACTGGGACTCCGGCAACCTTCTCCACGACCACCTGGAGACCGGTGAGCAACCTGAGCAGTAGTAGCCCGGGAGGAGCGGAGGTGGACTACACGCTGCCTCTGCAGCCCCCTCCGGACAAAGAAGACCTCAACTCCAGCAACTGCCAGTGCCACCAATGGCACTACCGCATCCGAGCAGGTCTCGTGCAAAACGTTGTCAGCAAGGTAAGGTTGAACTGCGTTGAACACCTTTCCTTCCCTTTATTCTCTGGTGTCCTATTTGGGCTCCTGTCCCCGAAGCTTAATCTCTGTAACTAATTACCTTTTCCTTTTCCTTTTCCTCACCGCCCCCCCCATCGTCCTTCATAGCATTTCCACGATCCCCAAATATTTTCTGCGTCTGCTTTCCCCACCCCCCTTCCACCTCAGTCAATGAATGGTCTGTGAGCCGCGAACACTCAACCTGAACAACCTGGAGAACTAGAACTAAGGGACCATAGGGCCGAAAATGAGGCTATACTTGCATGTGCATGAGTACCTCGCCGACCTTTCTCTTTTCTTCCTTCCTTAGTAAAATTTCCTTCTCTGTGAAATAAGGGTCCTTGGGCAGATATGCTATCTTTTCCTCTTTCTCCTTTCCTTTCTCCGCACCATCCCAGCCAGGGACAGTGCACCTTTACTCCAGAGGTACTCAGTATTACACTCCCTAGCTTCTGTTAGTGTATGCTTTGGAAAGAGACCCCTGCCCCTTAAGGGAAAAAAAAAACACTGTTGCTGTGTTATCAAGCTATTTTAGGTACTATGTAACAAAAGTCACAAGGGACCCTAGATGGGTCAGTCCTGAAAGCTCACTGCCTACTCATGATTTTGTTCTGGAGATACAGTTCATGTGTATGCAACTGTTCCTCATATCTTCAACAGATAACTATTTATGAAGTGTAGCATTTCCTTCCAAAACCACATTTCTATTCCAGAATTTGAATGATGTGTATGAATGTACATATGCATGCCTGTACATTCACATCTGCATGTGCATACATGTGTGTAAACATACACTGCTGTTTATATAGACATGTATATATAAAATTTATATATATGTGTATGTACCCACAGAGACATAGCTGAGAAAGTGTCTAAGTTTCCTACATGAGCAAACCCAGAGAGTATTATTTAGCTGAAGTTGTCAAAAAAAAAATCTGTCCACACATCTTTCCCTCCTTACTGTTCCCTCTTCTAACTTTAAAGTAGACAGTCTCTAGTTGGTCTCAGTGTTTATTTTTAAGTTCTCAAGGTTTTCAATGTTCAGGTGTAGGGTATACTTGTAAACCTCCTAGAAGTCTCAGTTTTCCATCCCACATTACTCTTTGCCCATATACACAGTCGTCACTTGAATTTATATACAGAGCAGAGAGTCCTCATTTTTTTTCTATGAACTTTAAACTTTTTACTTTATTGAGGAGCACCTTCACCTGATGAAATACTATATTCTTTGTTTAATCTTAACTGCCGTACTTGTTGGCAGATGCCTCTGAGAGCCTATGGTTTATTAGGCCTGTGCCTAAAAAGGCAGAATATTAAATCAACTATGATAACTGTGTTACACAGCCATAGTTCTCTTTTTTACTTAAAATATGAAAATTCTCCTCCAAGTAGCACTTACATTTAAAGGTAAATATTAACTTCCATGCCCATATGTGCAATTTGAAAGCTTTAAAATCCAGATACCAAGATAAAATCCAGCCATTCGTTATAGCCAATCTATGCATGTATCTTCTTCATGTTAGTAAACAATTGTAACTCATGGAAGTGTAAGATGAAACTCTTACATCATCATCTTAATCATGCCCTTAATCTTGTGCTCAGTGAGCTCGGTGAAGATGATTTATCCTATGGGAACTTTGTTTGGATCAACTGTACCTGCTTCTTGCAATTCTGCTTAGCTTTGCAGAAGCTATTTACTAGAGTGGTGGGCCTTTTATTCTCTTTGTGCCTACCAAACCTTGTTTAGTGTTTCTTGGACTCAGCTTTTATCAATGGAGAAAGCTTTTTTCTTACAGCAGGAGACATAGGTGATTTGAGGAAAACGTGTGTCTATAGTGCCTTTAAACATAATAGTCTGGAAACATTTGTGTCTGTGTGCACATACTTGTAGGGATAAGGCCAAGAAGAGAGCAGTGGGCATGCTGAGATAGAAAAAGAGGTGAAACTTCAAAGTTACTAGTGAGGATAGCTTCTCATTATCATTACTAGAAGGAGTCAAGAAAGAGGGATTCAATATTCAGTTCTAAATGGTGGGAGGGCAGTCCTAAAATAGTTTATTGGGGATTTGAAAAATCTTTCTAAACTTACTCTAGAGTAGCTCCAAACAGAAAAACATACTATCTAATCACTTCTATAGGTCTTTACACTTTTTGAAACAGTTTCATGGGCCATATGGACAAAAATACATAAATGCAGGGGGAGGGGATTGAAGCGCTTGAAAGAATGCTTAAGGACACATTTCTTTTAAGGCCTTTAGCAGTAAGAGCAAATTGATTTTTAATGGGCATATATGATCTAAATAAAGAACTGTGGTTCCCAGTGTTTGGTTTTGTAACATACTTTTAAGAGTCTTAGATCTTAAGTACATTTTGGGGTCTGTTTTGGCAGGTTTTTTCCTCAGCAATGTGTTTAAGTGGTAACAATAATATATTTGCAAATATGGAAAGCATTATAATTATAGCCATGATACTGTGGGGTCACAAAGCATTTCAGCTTCCTTTATAAAGTCAGAAACAGTGACATAGACCTAAGGGGGGGAAATTTTTGTGTGTAGGTTCTATGCATATTGAAAATTGGGGGGAAGTGGGGTGTAAAATAGTTCCACCTTAGGAAAAAAATTCAGTTTACCAATTGTTATACCCTTGCCCCGATTCTCAATGAACCTAATAAAATCTTTATTATCATAGGTAGGTTTTATTCATCAGTTGTTTGTTGAGCTCTTTGCATTGTACTGTGCCAGGGTGTTGAGGACACCGCAAGATTCTGGAAGCTTATAACTCATTAAATTTGGGAGATATAAAGCACATGTATAAAACACTAGAAGTCTTAAAAGCAGGAAGGGACTTCTGAGTTCATTTTGAGAACTTGGTACCATGGGGAAAGCCCTAGACTTGGAATGAGACCTTTGTTCAAAGCCTGTTTCTGATTGATATTTTGTTGTCACTCAACCTCTGGAAGCCTCAGTTTCCTGTCTATAAAATGAAGCTAATGATACTTGCACTGTTGACCTCTCAGTTCCTTCCAGTCACAAAGGCTTACAACTTTGTTGTCATCCCAAATCCTTCATTCTCTCTCACTTTACATATCCAGTTTGTTTGCTAAATCTTGTTTCTTCTTTTGTATCATTTCTTGCAAATGACCCCTCCTCATTACTAACACTGCCACCACTTTAGTTCAAGCCTTTATTACCTCCTGCCTGGATCATTGCAATAACCTGAAGGGGTTCCTGATGTGTCTTCACTCCAGCTACCAGTGAGATTTTCCAACAGCTTACATCTGACCATGTCACCCCTCAACTCCAATAAACTCCCAATAGTTTCCTGTTACCTCCAGAATCAGATATAAAGTCCTCTGTTTAAGCATTTAATGCTCTTCACAACCTGGCCCCTTCCTACTATTCCAAATCTTTTTATACTTTACTGCCATTTACTATTCTCTCCAGTCCAGCCACATTGGCCTGCGTTATGGTTCTGCTGTCCCTCCCCATCTTTGCACTCACTGTCTCCCAAGCCTGGCATACTGCCTGTTCTCACCTGTGCCTCTTAGTGTCCCTGGTTTCCTTTAGGATTCAGCTCAACTTGCACCTTCTACAGGAGCCCTTTCTTTGTCCTCCTAGTGGCTAGTGCCTTCCTCTCTCAAATGACCTCCCATCTAGTGTTTATATCTCCTAGATACATAATTACTTCTAGGTTGTCTCATCTATCAGAATGTATGTCCTTAAAGGCAAAGAGTCTTTTTTGCCTTTGTATCATTAGCACTTGGGCCTGGCATATAGAAAATGATTAATAAATACTTGGCGACTGACTGACAGAGTTGGTGTGGGGAGAGCAGTTTAGAAATGGAAACCTTTGTTATCATGTAGCATGATCTCTGACCCCGTTCAGGCATCCCTTCTCCAACATGCGTAACAGATGGTCAGCCAGCCTGTGGTGTCACATGGGGCCTTCCTTCTGGTCTTGGACTTCCTGAGACATTTCTAAAGTCTCTAGTAGATCCCTGCTCCTCACTTCCTTCCCCTTATGAGCTTAGAGCTTGTTCTGCTTCATATCATGATCCTCTGGATATACCTAATACACACATGTTCACTGATTATGTCCTTGCCTTTTCTTTCTCCTGGACCCCTCTCACCTAGATTTCTCTGCAGCAAAGGGTACAGGTTTCCAAATGGGCTCTGAAACCAACACACAGCTTTTTCTTAGGTTTAAAATGATGCTTATTTTTTTTTAATTTCTAGCAACTACAGGAAGACAGACAAGGGCTTAAAATAACAAGCAAAAGGTGAAAAGTCCTAAAGTTAGAAGTCTTAGAAACTAATTCTGATCTTAAGAGTAGCTTAGAAGTAGTAAGAACACCAGAGTAAAAGTCAAAAAAGCTAGGTTCAGAGTCTCCTAACTCTGTCACATCTGTATATGTTGCTAAACTTTTAGTTGACTACAGGTTCAATAAATCTAATGAAATCTTGGGTTTCATGAACAAAAATATATTGTTGATAATACAGCAGTTAAGCATCCCACTGTACAATTAGTTGGTCAGACTGAATCTGCCATATCAAGTCCTAACTTTGGAGACATCACATAAATCTTTTTAAATTTCAGTTTCCTTCTCTGTATACCTTATATGGCTTTTGTGAAGATCAGATAAGTTAATGGATAGGAAAGTACTTTTAAAAGTATAAAACACTATAGGCATGTCAGGTATTTGTAGTGTTGTTTTGTGAAAATTTAAATGGAGCTGTATAGACGGCTTGTACCTGCTTGGTAACACATTCTTTTAGTTCTTATACATGAGTCAAGCCTGCCCTGTCTGGATTAGATATTACACCAAGCTCTTTGACTCCTTATCCTGATATAGATATGGTTTAACAGGACTGTTAAAATTCTCACACCCTTCCAGAAATTGCTTCCTAAGCTTATCTCCAGGTGTGGGACTCTTAACTAAAGGAGGTATTTTACCTTTTGGCTCCC